TATATATATATATATATATATATATATTTTAGCATCAAATACGCTCCTTGTATCAATATCAAAATCCACTTGATTTGTTATGTCAAAATTGGGACAATTTATCCAGTAATGTAAGGCTAAAACAGATCTCTAATAATTCTTCTCTAATAATTAATCTCTTCTCTAATAATTCATTTCCATATCTTTTAAACATTTTCTTTTCGATCTAACTTAGAAAAAGAACGTCTGAGCCATAAGTACATATGTTTTCAACTAGATATTTGTATATTCTTATCTTTATCTTACTTGTAATTTTTTGGCTATACAAAACATTACTCAACTGTCTGTGTCACTACTCTCCCTTGAGAGATCCCATGTTTTGCTTCTTGTGCACATCTACAGGATACTTTGATATCCACCTTACTTTGACGAGCGTGTTATTCCCTTAAAATCTCTATGCCTCTGAGGTGTCTCGAGTTGCATTTCATACGTCATCACCGTAAAAAACGAAACCATTTGGATATTTCATACGTTTGAAAATGTAGTTATTTTTGTTACCTGAAATGTTAATTATTATTTTGAAGTAAAACTATAGAGCTCCCTGGTACTTAAGGATAAAGAATGTCACATATACCTAAACATTTCTACCAGAGTCATTGTAAGTCCAATTAATCATTTTACTTTCTTGAATACTTACGGAGTTCCATATGTGATATAGAAAAAGTTACGTAATACTGCTGAAAATAGATTTCGAGATTTCAACGGAAATACGCGTTTTGGGGTCCCCTGAAACCGAAAAAGTGTTGTTTTTTTGAAAATGTCCGTTATGAACACCACTTGCCTAACCCATACGTGTGATTTTTTTTCGTTTACACGCTTACATTAACATGCTTACATTTACACGCTTACATTACACGCTTATAATTACATGCCCCACGCTATCACCAACGTTGGCAGACTAACGGGAGCTTAGAGCTTGTCCCGGCTGGGGCGATGCTTGGCTGCGACAGATTTCCGGAGAAGCGAAAACCCCACGAGTCGACGTGTAGGATTGATGTTTCTGGACTCGTCCACTGCAATGGTCATTAATCATGCTAGTGTAATGAATGTTTATTCCGGGATGTGACGATGTCCCTCCCCTTTTTGGATGACGAAACCCTCACCAGATGATTCATGGATAGCCTATTTGATTTCTGCGCTCATATATTGTAATGTCAGCCGTTGTCAGAACTATGTAATCTAGGATTCCTGTGACGTTTCTCGGCGCCATTGTTTGTTTGACCAATTTCGCGATAAATAAAGGCGGAGATTTTCTTTTAAGCAGCAGACCAAACCCAAAGTATGCAAGCTGAGTTCACTTGAACAAAAGGAAGATGCCTCGATTACATCAGTAACTTATCCAACAGCTTGAATTGTTCATCTGAAGCGGCTTTAATCAAATTTGTACGAAATTTTTCTTTGTTTTTAGGGCACTTTAAAGCATTTTACGAGAATTTTAATTATCATTTTGGGCGATGTTTTACGTCATCAAAATTTGGCTCTAGTCATTAACCTTTTTAATGTAGTGAATGTTCCGGGAGGTGTCAGGGCGGGCGAGTATGGCTATACCCTATCTATTCGTAGCTATCTACCGATCTATCTAACTGGAGTCGAAAACAGTCTATCGTCGGAATTCGAACATTGGAACTTCCCGGTCACAGATACAATTCTGGTTCTGAGTTTAACTCAACCGGTAGATCGCAAATGGGTGGATGGGATTCCCGGTGAGAGAGAGAGAGAGAGATAGAGAGAGAGAGAGAGACATACACAGAAACAGAGAGGAGGAGAGAGAGGGAGAGGGAGAGAGAGACAGAGACACAGAGAGAGACTGAGCGAGGCAGAGAGAGAGAAAAATGGGAAATCCCCTACTCCCTACAATTTTACATTACCTAACAATTTATTTTAACTTGTCACGAAACTTTCAAGCAAAAAATTATATCGGATAATCATTAAAACAACAAAATCGTAACGGAGCATGAACTGAGTGTAGACTGCGATATTTAATAAAATCTGTAATATGACACATTAAACCAAAACATGTTGAATTTCCCCTCCCAAAAATTTGTCTCTGGATCCGCCCCTGTACTAGGAATGTACAGAAATGAACGTGAACATATGGGGAAAAAACAGTTGTACGAGCTGGGGAAAAACAAAAATGAGCAAGTGCGTGAGCAGACAAACAGCTGTGCGAGCTGGGGAAAAACAAAAATGAGCTAGTGCGTGAGCAGACAAACAGCTGTTCGAGCTGGGGAAAAACAAAAATGAGCCAGTGCGTGAGCAGACAAACAGCTGTTCGAGCTGGGGAAAAACACAAATGAGCAAGTGCGTGAGCAGACAAACAGCTGTACGAGCTGGGGAAAAACAAAAATGAGCCAGTGCGTGAGCAGACAGCTGTACGAGCGTGTCGTCATCGGCGGGAATGGCGGCCCAGAGGGGAGGTGTGTACCAGCAGCCGTGAACAGGAGCGACGCGCGAGATGCGATGGTCGGATAGCGGCTGCCCCGGCGGAAGCGGACCGGGACTCTACAGGGCGTGGAGGGGCGGGGTGGGAAGG